TCAAGTCCTCAAGCATCCTTATGGAAGAAAGCCATGGAGGAGGAACTGGGATCTATGTCTAAAAACAATGTTTGGACATTGGTAAATTTTGATTCAAGCATCAAACCAATAGGCTGTAAATGGGTCTATAAGACCAAGAGAGATGCCGAAGGCAGAATAGAAAGATACAAGTCTAGGTTGGTGGCAAATGGATTTACACAAAGGGAAGAAATCGATTTTTCTAATACTTTCTCTCCAGTCTCTTCAAAAAACTCTATGAGAGTAATCACGCCTTTAACAACTTACTTTGACTTAGAACTACATTAGATGTACGTCAAAATAGATTTTCTCAATGGAGAGTTAGAGGAGGACATTTACATGTGCCAACCAACTAGATTTGTTGAAGGGGTGAAGGATAATATGGTCTGTAAACTGAAAAAATCCATTTATGGAATTAAACAAGCAAGTAGGCAATGATATCTCAAGTTTGAAAAGGTGGTTGCAGCACATGGCTTCAAAGAGAACAAGTTAGATGATTGTATGTACTATAAGTTCAAAGGTACCAAGTTTATTTTTCTGGTACTATACGTGGATGACATCTTGGTAGTAAGTTCTAATTTGCAGTTGCTACAAGAAACCAAGAAAATGCTTAGTGCCAATTTTCAAATGAAAGATATGGGGGAAGCTCATTATGTACTTGGCATAGAAATAATTAGAGATAGGAAAAGGAAGCTTCTGGGGCTTTCACAAAAAGGGTACTTTGAGAGAGTCTTGGCAAGGTTAACATGGAGCATTGCAATTGTGCTAATGTTCCTGTGAATAAAGGTGACAAATTTTCTCGATAGCAGAGCCCAACAAATGAGTTAGACAAAGAAAAGATGAAGTTGAAGCCATATGCCTCTCTTGTAGGTAGTTTAATGTATGCTAGTATTTGCATAAGGCCCGATCTTGCATTCATAGCTGGATTACTTGGGAGGTTTCAATCAAATCCTGGTGAAGCACATTGGGTGGCTGCAAAGAAAGTTTTGAGGTACCTACAGAGAACAAAAGGTTACTCGTTGGTATATAGAAGAGAGAATACACTAAAAGTTATTGGATACACAGATTCGGACTTGGCTAGGGACTTGGATGAGAGGAAATCGACTGATGGATGTATATTTATATTGAATGGAGGTGCCATCTCTTGGAAAAGTGCCAAGCAATCTATAATTTCTACTTCTACTATGGAAGCCAAATTCATAGCGTGTTTTGAAGGTATGAAGCGAGCGATGTGGCTTAAAAACTTCATTAGTGAATTGAAGGTTGTTGATTCAGTTCAGAAACCATTGAGAATGTTTTGTGATAATAATTCAACCGTGTTTTTCTCAAACAACAATAAAAGGACTTCGGCTTCTAGGCTAATGGATGTAAAGTTTCTTAAAGTTAGAGAGAAAGTGAAAGAAAGTGCCATTGTTGTGGAACATTTGTCCACAAATATGATGATTACTGATCCACTAACAAAAGCCTTGCCTAATGGGATTTTTAAAGCACATGTTTCTCATATGGGAGTTGTCGATGCTTCTGATAAGTGGGACTAGTTGATATTGTCGAGCTTCTCGAAGATAGCTATAGGATGCTTTTTCAGGAAGAAGTGTGTTGCAGTAATGTTTTCTAGAGGCTAGGTATTTTGGTTTATCTATTTAGATTTTGTTTGCATTTTAGAAGTTAGTTGAGGTTTTCTTTTGGTTCAACTAGTTCAGATAAATCTGTGATTGGTTGTTCACAGGAAACATTGTGATAATTCAATAAAAGCTCTTGAGTCAATTTTTGTTTTTTTTTTGTATTATTATTTTTTTTTTTTTGACAAAGCTATTGTGAGAATTATATTCAGTTGTTCTTTTTGGTGAATGACTAAAGAACTTGTGTTGTATTTTGGGCAATATGAGTGGGAGTAAACTTTTGGTTTGCTCGTATGCAGAATCACTTTTCTGTGAACATGTGTTAGACATTGTGATTTATAAGTTAATTTTGCACATTGTATTGCAGAGGAGATTATGAGTTCATTGCCTTGACACATGTTTTCAGTTTTGTGCTTTACTGGAGAAACATTGTTGTGAGACTTATGTGATAATTTTATGTTAATACTTTACCTTTTTAAATCATACTCAAGTGGGAGAATGTTGGAATGTGAGTATGTTTTCACACAGTTAAGTTATTGTGGATTAACATAAAGAAGTCTCAATATGTTTATGAGAGTGAATCCTATTTGGTTTTGGATTAGAGCTTTGCTTTGGGACATGAGTTTAGTACTCATGATTATACAAGGATTTAGTTTCCTTGTAGGATTGTTATAAGTAGTCCATAACTTGTAGTATAAAACCACAATCCCTACTCTCACAAAAGCTCGCTTATATTGTTCCAATAGCCTATAAGTTGGAGAGTATTGTGCTTTGCAGAGAGAAGAAGGTTGTGTGCAGATTACGTAATAGCCTTTACATCGACAAACATGTTTGCAGGTATGCTTCAATCAACATGTTTTGTATCTTATTTGCTTCTTGTTTACATAGTTCATGGTTTGTGATTTACTTGATCAATCCTTGTGTTCTTGGTGGTTATATTGAATACTTGTTTACTCTTACACAAGCAACAACCCTCATTGACCACAAAGAAGAATTAGGAGGAAACTAATTTTCTACAACGACAAGTTCTTTTCCGAACTTGTCGAAAGAAGAAATATGCAACTGATGATGACACTTTAATCATCACTTGTTTATCTTTGGCTGCTTGTTGCTGCTCTGTGCTTCAAAGAATGCTCAGAAAAGAAGAAGCAGGAAAGTCTTTCAGATGACTTGAATGTGTAAGAACCATGTTTTTTTATTTTATTTTATTTATTTATTTTTGAGCTAATGATATTATCTACACTAAAGGGGGAGGGGTGGGCTTAGCCTCACAATGGGCTAGAATTAATGTGATTCAAATTCACTACCTCTCACTTACAAGTAAAAAGGAATATCACTAGACCGTAGTACTAAGTGGCGTGTAAGAACCATATTGAGTTGCCAAGGGTTGCGTTGTGAATCACACGAGAATGAAAGCAGGGCAAGTAATTTGCCTTCAGTGTGATTGAATGATTGATTGGCAAGAATCATGGAGCCGTTGAAACATTTGTTGCGGTTGGCGTGTAAGAACCATATTGAGTTGCCAAGGGTTGCGTTGTGAATCACACGAGAATGAAAGCAGGGCAAGTAATTTGCCTTCAATGTGATTGAATGATTGATTGGCAAGAATCATGGAGCCGTTGAAACATTTGTTGGCTTTGGTTAAAACTAATTTGGAAGATATCTTGTACATGCCTCAGTGAGACAACATTAAGAATTGGATAGTGATTAGGTGTATCAATCCAATCACCATGATAGGCGATATTGAAGGAAACCCTAATAGCTATAAGTAAGGATTTCCCTGCTCTCCCTAGAACATGTTCCGTTCTTGAGCAATCCATATTCGTTGCTAGAACAATATTAGTAGAGAGTAGGAGACTTCTTGCGAAGAGATCAGTGAAGCATGGCTCCTCTTAGTGCAGTTTAGTATTCTTTCATGCAAACACTTCACTCCATAAACCCTAGCAGCCTTTGTGTGGTGCTAGTTGCATGTTGATCCAAATGAAATCTTGCAGAATGAGGTCATAGTGGACAAAGGCACATCAACCCGTAATCAAATACAAATGTAATAGGTGTGGAAACAAAATGACAAAAGCTACAAGATAAAAGTTAAAAAAGGGGAAAAAGCCAACAAGACATATTTGCTCTCTTTTATTGACTAAACGTGTGGGATTCTAAATCCCACAAAAAGTCTTTCGGATTTTCAACTTGGGGTCACAGAAAAGGAACAAAAAGCCTCTTGAAGGGAAGATGTCAATTGCTGTCTCTGTAAACAAAAGGATGGCTGAGGGACACCGTCGAGTGATAGGGTGCTTACATTAGGCCTTAATAAAAAAACCAAACAGGAATTAAAACGTAATTATGTCCAAATACATAACTTAAAAAAAAACTCAAATTTAAATATTGTCATACAAAACATAAATTTAAAACTACTATTTCGATGGTCCTGGTCCATTTTGTAAGACTTCATAATGCCATCGATTTGTAACTTGCCTTCAAAGCATCCTCCATCAACTTCATCAACTGTTCGTTCGTATCATCATCTGGAGTATACTTACACTGTTACACATATATGCAAATAATTAATTCCAACATATAACTAAAAATTTCACAAACTTAATTATTGATCCATCAACAATATACTTACTAATAGTTCATTCATTACAACCTTCTTCACATTCTCAGGCACATTTTTCCAAGAATGCCACTCAGCAGTGGGACAATTATTCCCCATGGCTCGCATGCGCAAACTCAAAATGTTGCCTCAAATCGTTCAGGTTGGCGACGGGCACGCTCTGATCCTTTTTTTTATCCTCCATCTGTTCTTGAAGAATAAGGAGAACAAAATTGTGAAGAATAAGGACAGTAGAAGCACATATTTATAGGAAGGTTAGGGCCTTTGCGTGATGAAGGCTTTGTCACGTAAACATCTGTATTAAATGCGATATTGATTCCTTTGATTCACCTGCAATGAATGGCCTAATTGAAAATTTACAAGAACTAGCGCGACGAACCCTTGGTCGCATAAATGTCTCCTTTTCCTCGGGCACATTTTTCACGCCAAAAAAAATTACCCCGTGTTTTATTGCTGATTTTACGCAAAGACAACAAATATTCGTCATGCAATTTTTTTTTTCTTCTTATCCTGTCTATTTTGCACAACGAAACAATTTTTTCGTCGCCCAAGTATATCTTGTGCAACGAAATATTGTTCGTCGCGCAAACTTTTTTTTTTTTTACTAATGAGAGGAAATATTTTCTCTATTCCAAGTATGATTCTCTACAAATTTGTCAGGAGAAAGAAGTTGCAAAGGAAGAAAAAAATAATCAAATGCCTCTACCACTCAGCTGCGTCTTTTATAATCATAATCCAACAATTAGTAATGATTTTTCCACGTACAAACTGTACATTATTATGTTATATATATGATGTAAAATTTTATCCTCCAACACGTGTGACGTTTATTCTGAATTACAAGGTAGAATAATAATGGCTGAAATGGCAACATAAGTAGACTAAATCAATTATTGATCGAATACATCACTCATGAGAGACTACAACTACTTGTTTTCCAAAGTTACGACCCTTAAAAAGTCCAACAAGCGCTGCTGGACCATTCTCAAGGCCTTCAACTATGTCTTCCACATAAACAATCTTCCCTTGTCTAATGTGAGGCAACATAAACTCAAGGAATTTAGGATAGACGTGATAGTGATCAAGAACTGAAAATCCATGGAAACGAATGCGCTTGTATATGAGTTGCATCAAATTAGTTACCCCTTCAGGCTTGTCAAGATTGTACTGTGAAATCATTCCACATCCAGAAATACGCCCATGGAGTCTCATGTTAAGGAGCACAGCATCCAGTGTTTTACCCCCAACATTTTCAAAGTATATATCAATGCCTTCCCGGAAATATCTGCAATCGTAATCACAAATATATATTAAGCATGTGTTTTTTTTTATTACATGCGATATTCTATACTAATCTACTATACTAAGTTCGAAGGGAGAGTAATAAAAAAAAAACAAAAATGATTAAATCCTTCCTAAAATCATGCAAAGATTAATACCAAATAGGGTTTTATAAATTTTTTTTCATCAAATTCGAATTGTGTGAAATCTAATCAGATTTTGTGTTTTCTAAAATAAAATGTTTTATTTTTATTTTTAAATATTGGTAGGTTTAAACTAAAAAAGAGTACATTTTATTATAAAGTATGGGTACATTATAAATAAAAAAGTGAATAGATTTTACATTTAGACCATCTCTAACACTTGGGTTAAAACCTAAAATTTTTTAGCCTAGAAAATTTAGGTTTTAATCCAGAAACTTTTTTGCTCCAACTCTTCTGGATTAAAATTTTAGCCCCAGATGATTAAAGAATAAATTTAGGCTTTTTTTTTTCTTAAAGTAACTTTTCTAAAAGAAAAAAAATTATACAGACTATCCTAATTTAATTTTATGAACATGTTAACCTAAAACTATTTAGATTCCGAAAAATATTGAAAAATCACTAACCGACACCATGAAACTCGTGACACACTATGAAAGAATATGAAACACATAAAAGATTTTTTTTTTAATTACTTTAGCCGTTGGATTTAAATTTGGATAGTTAGATTTTTTTTTTTTACCGTTGGATTTCATCAAATTAGATCTTAGCCGTTAGATTCAATAAATTTATAAATATAAAACTAGAAAAAAATATACATATATGGTGGACCAGCCCCATTAACCTAGGGGGAATCCTAGGCTAAATTTGGTCCATAAATGAGTTTTGAGTTTTAATTCATATTTGCCCCAAGGGTTGGAGCAAGTTGGGGTAAGTTTAGAACCTAAAATTTGAGTTTTACTCCAAGGGTTGAAGTAAATCAAAAGAAAATGGGTACATTATAAATCAATTATGAGTACAAATAAAAGATTAAAAAAATATGAGTACACTGAGATTTTTGAAATGACAATAATAAATTCTTTAAAAAATGGGTACAAGTCAAAAGTTAAAATATATGATACAAAACTTAGACATAAATATAAATATATCAGATTCAATGTTTCTAAAAATTGAAAAATTAACAAAGAATAAGGTTTTACTGAAATACAAAAATGAGGGATGGTATATTATGTAGGAAACGTAACGAAATATACATTACCTTTTCAAAGCCACATTCAAGTCATTTTCTTCTTTGTAGTTAAAAGCCTCGTCAAATCCAAACTTATTCTTCAAAAGATCGACCTATGACAAGATCAGCCCAGAAGCCGAATATACTTAATTTTCATGTGAATGAAATGCTAATCTAAAAGAACCGTGTTCTACAATGAAGACCGAAATGAAATGGTTATGACGCGGATTGGTTTTAGTACCTTTTCGTTACTACCAGCACTTCCAACAACATAACAACCCATCAATTTTGCAAGTTGTCCAACAAGCTGACCAACAGCACCAGCTGCTGCTGAAATGAAGACGTATTCTCCTTTCTTAGGAGAACATATTTCGTAGAAACCAACATAAGCGGTCAGACCAGGCATACCTGCAAATTGCAATGAAAATTTCTCGATTCATTAGTAGAGAAGTTACAGTACGTATCGGATAATAGGGGTGTATTCGACCAATAGTATGCGATAGGTACGTGTACTCTACTATACTATACTATGTATACAAAGAAAGGTATATATACTGTGCGTGGACTTAAATTATTACCTAAAATTCCAGTATAATAGGATAGGGGTATATCGGTGTGGTGGATTTTGAAGAGGACTTGGGGTGTAGTGATTAGACTGTACTCTTCCCAATTGGTCATCCCCCAAACTAAGTCTCCTGCCTTAAAATCTGGGTGCCTAGAGTCCAAAACTTGAGCCACTCCATATCCGTATATCGTCTGCACGAAGAAATTATGTTAAAATGTGTTTCACGCGTTTCACCTGCCTTAAACTGTACACACACACACATATATATGATTGATGGGTTTACTTACAGAGCCTGGTGTATAGGAGGATATTGGTGGGACGCTGTGCACTTGGACGCTTTCCATAAGGAGTCGTTGGTAGGGATCGCAAGACAAGTAGAGGTTCTTAAGTAGGACTAGTTGTTCCTTTGAGGAAGTAACCGCATCAGCTGGCTGATCAGTCTCTGCGGGAAGCTTCAACTTGATAGTAGCGGTGTTGATCACACACAAGTCTGACTCTTTGGGAAAAGCCTTGACTACATAATCCTTCAGTATCACCTGCTTGTTACTCACTTCTGCCATTGCTCCTCTCTCTCTCTCTCTCTCTCTCTCTCTCTCTCTCTCTCTCTCTCTCTCTAATCAATATCTTTTTACGTGATCTGCCTGCCCTTAGAGATCGACCAAACCTTATATATAGCAGTGGAGGACGTTCTACTAGAGCAACAGCTTTCCTTAATTTGACTAAAGAGGTATCCATCAATTTCCCCCATGAACTTGTGACCATTGGCCAATTTCCCCCCTCAACTTTAATTTTGGTCAATTTCCCCCCTCAACTCTCATAATTAGTCAATTTCCCCCCTCAACTTTAATTTGGCCAATTTCCCCCTCAACTCTCAAAATTAGTCAATTTGCACCCTACAATTAATTTTTCTTTTAAACAATTAATTTTTCTTTGAAATTTTCCATCTATTCTTTTCTTAATTTTCAATTTTTCTAATAACTTCCAACAAAGTACTAAAATTAACATAAACTCACCTGCATAATATAGGGTAAAATGTACAAAAACATAATACAGTTAGTATGTGATATGGGTTGATTATAAGAAAAAGTTATGAATCGGATTTAAAGCATGTAGAAGAAGAAATAATAACAAAAAGAAATAATAATCCTAAACTCATGGATCAGACCTATTTCAATAAAATGGGTTATTCTTAATAAAGAGTCGAAAATTATGAATAGACTAGCCATTTTTTCACTAAAGCCCAATTCTCCGCAATTTACTTGAACTTAGCTTTCACTTTTATAAAGAAAATTGTATTCACATACAAAATTTTACACATCAATCCTTTTCGTTATCAATTTTGTATAGTCAAAAATCAAATAAAATTACTCCATGCTGATTTATTATGACTAATAATATTATCTATGATAAATTGTAAAATTCTAAATTTTAATCTATTTGTAATAGGATAAAGATATAGGAACATGATTAACATACATCTTATTTAGTTTCTTACACACACTTGTTTAATTATGATCAAATTAAAAAATTAACAGTAAGGTGCAAATTGACTAATTATAAGAGTTGAGGGGGGAAATTGGCTAAGGGGGGAAATTGGCTAAATATGAGAGTTGAGGAGGGAGATTGGCCAAAATTAAAGTTGAGGGGGGAAATTGGCTAATGGTCACAAATTCAGGGGGGAAATTGATGAATACCTCTTGACTAAAAGCACCTTCACACGTATGTGGTGATGAAAGTTGCACCGTATGAAAAGCACCTTCATACGTATATGGTGATGAAAGTTGCACTATATGCTTGAAGTGTACAATGAGTTTGAAGTGTACAATTTTTCTTTTATCTCATATATATATATATATATATAATATATTCACCACATCATATCAAGATAAAGCATAATGAGTTTGAAGTGTACAATTTCAACAATAATTTAATTTACAAACACAACATTAACATATTATTAGCTGACACTCTTTAATATAAATAAGAATTATCATTGTATATGGGATAAACATATATTAGACAATATCATTACTTTTTCATATAAACTGAGTAAATTGTCGACTTAGTCACTAAATTAGTATTCAAGTAAAAATTAAGTCTTTAAATTATTATTTTTTTGAAAAATTAATCCCACTTAAAGCACTCCCACTTAATACCATGCAACAAACGGGGCCTAACTACATAACGCCGGGTTGTCGTACGGTTTCCCTGTACCACGTAATTGCTCACCCTCTAATGCAGGTAATTGCTTGCGTGCTGATTATTTTATTAGTCAATGTGCCACAAGTGATGAACTAGAGATGACGTGCCGACCAAAATGTTGTCATGCGGAAAAGTCAAATACGGTATCAAATTGAGTTTGAGATTGATGTACATTTAAAAAAAAACTGTTTTTATGTACTTTAAAAATAATTAGTTATAAAAATAAAGTGGTTGAGCATTTAATAAATTGTATTTTTTAAAGTATTGTGAGTATGAAAATTAATGTAAAAGTATTTGAAAAATTTTAATACAAAAAAATATATAATAGTATATAATGATAAAAATGAACATAGTAGTGAGGCCAATGGCAATGAGGTGGCAAGGGTTGTGATGGTTGAAATGGTGGTGGTGGTGGTGCGGCCAATAGTGTGATGTGGTGGTTGTGGTGCAGAAGTACAAAGGCGCACTAGTAAAAAAATCTCTTGCATGACAAAATTTTAGACTTCGTCACACAACATGTTTAAAAAATAAAATAAATAATTTTTTTTTTTTTAAAACCTTGCATGACAAAATCCAAATATTTTGTCGCCCAAACGCAGTTCATTTTCTTTTCTATTTAATTTTATATTTTAAATTGTGAAAAAATTATTTTCATAGTTTTTATTATTTTTTGAAAACTTTGCGCGACGTATACTAATATTTCGTTGCCTTAACCCTTTTTATTTAATTTTATATTTTAGATTGTTAACCTAAATTATTTTCTTTGCGAGACGAATCAACATTTCGTCACCTAAACCCTATTCATTTTATTTGATTTATGTTTTAAATTGTAAAATTAAATTATTTTCTTTATTATTATTTTTTAACAACTTTGTGTGACGAATACTAATATTTCGTTGGTTTATTTAATTTTTTATTTTAAATTGTCTAATAAAATTTATTTCTATAAATTTTGAGCGACGAACCAATATTTCATCATGCAAAATAGTTAAATTTGGGCTAGTGCCGAAAATGGGACACGGGAAATTTAATTTTTAATTTTTTTAAACACTTTGTGGGACCAATCTTTTGTCGCGCAAAGTTTTGCGCGATGAACAAATGTTTCATAAGGCAAAACCCTAAAAATTTGGGTGGGTGTGTGACAACCCGTCCCTAATTTTACGATTTTATTTAAAAGAGTGAATTGACGAAAATGCCCCTAGAGGCAAGAATTTTGACTTCCGTTGACCATTCTTTTGTGACATGTACAAGCTACTATTTTACTGTATTCTTGAAGTACTCAACGATATGAACTTGTAGACGCAATCGAAATCAAATTCGGAGCTATGATAGAGATTTTATGGACTTACAAACGTAAAGGGCGATTTGGTAATTTCAATTGGAGGGATATTTTGTGTCTTGTTTTGTGAGCCACATGGAGCCCACACACCACTCCTCCATTGTCCCCTGGTCCCCTTCCATAAATTTGGACATTCCCTCTCACTAGTTTATTATTTTTTTTAAAAAAAAAAACTCTCTCTCTTTTTCTTCTTTCCCTCACACCGAGTCTCGCTCTTTCTTCTGCAACAACTAAGAACACTCATCAAACCTCATGGATCAGACCTTGAGTCACCACCATTGTACTCCTCTCATCCCCACGAGTCCATCCATACGAGCCGATTAAAAAATGACCGAGTTTTAAGCTTCCAACTCGGACCTCTGATCGGGTGTAGGTTCTCCGGTGACCTTCCGTTCGATTTGCAAGGTTTTGGAAGGTCTAGAAGCAACTACACAACTCCCTGAGGTCATTCGCCTAAGTTTGAAGTCAAGCCAACGTGTAAACAAGCAACTTTGGGACGTTTGAAATAGGGCTGAGATCTTCGAGGCATTTTCAATCCATTTCCGTCCACTTTTTGGACTTTTAAAAGGTACAATCTTGTTTTTGTCTTCCCAAGCTTCATTACCATATAAAATGGTAGAGAAATGAGAAAGATATAAAGTTTTAAAGTTTTTACAAAAATTTGGCCAAAATTTTCCAGATTCCGGCGAACCAGACGACGGCAGCGGTGACCGAAAAATTGGAGAAGATGCAGAATATTCTATTAAAGATGACAAAATATTTTGACGCTGTTAAGGTACCACCGTTAGACTTAACGTAATATTTTGTCAAATATGACGGAATATTCACCTGGGATCTGCAAGCGCGTGCAGGCGCATAACTTGCACGTGTGGCATTAATTAATTACTATAGTTGTTTCACATATAGGAAAGAATTATCCTGAGGAGGTACGAGGTCAAGCAAGGCTAGGAGGCTATGATCCAACTATGTATCAATGACTGGGTCTTTTCTTTTATATAATGTATGTGTATATATATATATATAATTGTTAGTTTCCATTTATACATTTCTTAAAGAGTTTTCTATAGTACACCTAGATTAGGATAACGTATATATAAAATTACCAAATTGACGGAATTCATATGCGTATTAGTATGGATGCTTTAATAGTAATTACGGTCATGAATAACATTTCATTGACTAAGGATATTGAATTATCGATTTACCATTGCGTGATGATATTTGGGTTACCTACTTATCGTTTGCTACACCGGTATTAGTACTCGCCCGGGCCAAGGCCATTCTTTCACGTGTATGTGCATATCGCACCGTACGCTCACTTTGGATCCATTGTAGGTGCCAGTCCTATCCTAGATTGCTATAGGCAATTAGGGTTTGTATGTGCTGCGCATAGCACCAGTATTCACGTGATTGTAGTACTAGAGTGTATATCATTGTTACACCCAGTCCTGTTCATATCAGAATATCTCTGCATGAACTGTGTGTCAGCATGTGTCGATGACCACTCGATATGATATGTTTTCTTACGCAAGATTATGTGATTACGGACGTCATACGCTTATTTACGAAATATTAGGCCGTATTGAATTTTTGAGATATTGCAGGCTACGGTAAGTATTTTCTTATTAGACGTAGTATGTATATTTTGGAAACTATACTTGTTTTACAGCGAGGGGTTACTATGTTTTCGAGAAGGTTTTTAAAAAGTTTTAATTTTAGGCCCACTCACCCTTGTTTTTCACCTCTCCAGGTTTTAGTAACTGAGCTTTCATATCGATGAGGATTCTTGGCAAATCTTGGTATAGGTGGCTACCTTTGACGGTATAATTCTCATCCTACTTTACTGTACTTTACTTATGCTATGACATCACGTGGGAAATGGGTTCATCCTCGTGTGGCAAGTGTTTTCCTTAGAATCAACGGAACCACCTCATAGGACCAGTTCCTTACCAGTCATCCGAAACTATCCACCTGAGCGGGCTCTAATCTGTAATCAGTCTATTGTGGCGGTACTAATTGATGATACTGTCCGATATCCAAGAATTGTCAACCACTATTCAGGTGGTATGATTTCTGATACCGTACACATGCTATTATCTGGGAGT